AAGATACAGAAAGATCTTGATTGACTTGAACTCTGGGCCCTATCTAACAAAATGAAATTCAATGGTGAGAAAACTAAGGTTATACATTTAGGAAAGAAAAACCAAATACAGATATAAAATAGGTGATACCTGGCCCAATAGTAACTTTGGAGTCCTGGTAGATACTCACTTAAATATGAGTCAGCAGTGTACTGCAGATGCCAAAAAAGCCAATGCAATCCAAAAAAGCCAATTAACAGAAGGATAGAATCAAGATCATGTGAAGTGTTAATATCACTTTATAATGCCTTGATAAAACCACACTTGGAATATTGCATCTATTTTTGGTCGTCACAATATAAAAAAGATACTGAAACTAAAAAAGTACAGAAAAGAACAACAAAGATTATTAGGGGACCGGAGGCTAAAACATACAAAAAACAGTTGCAAGAATTGGGTAATTCTAGTTTAATGAAAAGAACTAGGGGTGACATGATAACAGTGTTCCAATATCGAAGGTGCTGCCACAAAGAAGGGTCAACCTATTCTCCAAAGCACCTGAAGGCAGAATAAGAAGCAATGGACAGAAACTAATCAAAGAGAGAAGCAACCTAGAACTAAGGAGAAATTTCCTGACAGAACAATTAATCAGTGAAATGACTTGCCTCCAGAAGTTGAGAATGTTCCAACAATGGAGATTTTTAAAAAGAGATTGGATAACCATTTGTCTGAGGTGATATAGGATTTCCTGCTTGAGCAGGAGATTTGACTAGAATACCTCCAAGGTCCCTTCCAACTCTGTTGTTCATATTTTGGAATATGAATATATTAAATACTATATGATTCAATGGGCAAATGTTTTTGGTTACAATGCTTAAGCAATAAGTATATGGAATGAAGGGCTGAAATTTATGCTGAACTAAAACCTGAACGAAAATTCTATAAAATAGCATACAATTGATATTTATCAAAAATTGTCAAAGATATATAAAGGTGTTTCAAGTATCTGCTGGAACTGTAATTGTAAGAAAAGTAATTTTTATCATTATGTGGTGGACTTGTGACAAGACAAAGAAGCACTGGGACCAGGTTTATATTTTAAATCAGAAGATCCTTGAAATAAATATATAATAGGACTTCCGGTTTGCCATCGCAGCGCCTGCGGATGCAGGAAGGCGAGCTCTGTCTTCCGCGTCTGAATTCGTTCCACTGGAGAACCTTGGAAAGGGTCGAAAGTCACCTTGTAGGGGCAACGAGCAAGGAGGAGACCCCCATTTGATCGCGGGAGGGCAGCAGCCCTTCTGTTTGATCTGGGGAAGCCCTCCAAACCAGCGGGGGAAAGACCAGCCATAGCAATATGGCTCGTCACTAAACTGCTGACAGCCAAAATCGAAGTACCACCAAGCAACTTTAAAGCATTCACCGCTTCTGGAGGCAGGTTGTTCCACTGGTTAATTGTTCTAACTGTCAGGAAGTTTCTCCTTAGTTCTAGGTTGCTTCTCTCTTTGGTTAGTTTCCACCCGTTACTTCTTGTCCTGCCTTCAGGCGCTTTGGAAAATAGCTTGACTCCCTCTTCTTTGTGGCAGCCCCTAAGATATTGGAACACTGCTATCATGTCCCCCCTCGTCCTTCTCTTCGTTAAACTAGACATACCCAATTCCAGCAACCGTTCCTCATATGTTTTAGCCTCCAGTCCCCTAATCATCTTTGTTGCTCTTCTCTGTACTCTTTCTAGAGTCTCAACATCTTTTTTACAATGTGGTGACCAAAACTGGATGCAGTATTCCAAGTGTGGCCTTACCAAGGCATTGTAAAGTGGTATTAATACTTCATGTGATCTTGATTCTATCCCTCTGTTAATGCAGCCTAGCACTGTGTTGGCTTTTTTGTCAGCTGCAGCACACTGCTGGCTCATATTTAAGTGATTGTCCACTAGGACTCCGAGATCCCTCTCTGTTACTATTATTGAGCAGATGAACGCAAATGAAAATGGGTGAGACCTGATCCTCTTTTTAAGACTAAGTATTTTTCCTATAAAAGCTGCCCAAAGCATTTTTCCCCATGAGGAGAAAGGGAAGGGAATTTTTACCCCACCCTCTAAGAAAAACGGCGACTAACTACCCAGGGGAAACAGAGCAACTATAAGAACAATTTTAATCTAATTGGATGTATATGCTTTTGAAACTTGGGGACTAAAAGTGTTCCTTTTCTCATTGGCAACATGTTTTTATTTTTTTAAAAAATAAGACTTGAAAAACCACCATATAAACTTGGGATTTAAAAAGCTTAAAACGGCGTCGGTGACATCTTGTGGCGAAGTATGGTATTACAATTTGTTATTTCCTAAAAGAGACTTGGCTTGAAGCCCAGACTTTAGATAAAATTTCTTTACTTTGACAGCTATCACCTGTGAAATACCCAGCTGCAAAGAAGGAACTTCTGGGTGGCATATCTAGCCTGCTGGAACTATGAATGTAAACTTTTACTGACTCTCAGAGCTATACTTGGGGAATTGCTTTCCTATTTCTTTACATGAGAAGCATATGGTATTATATGAGATGATAGACTATAAACTTTTACTTGATAAACAACTTCTACTATAAATACTACCTATAACACATGAAATAGATGTCCTATACCCAGCTACAAAAGACAAAACTATGTTTAACATTTGAGTCTAAAGTCTGCAACTTAAGAGAATATGGATGAAGACCAGGAAAAAATCCTTTCCATGTTGAAATCAATACATGAAACCATCCTTTCAGCTTGTGATGAAATAAGAAGCAACATAAAAGAACAAGATGCCAGCTTAAATATACAAACCCAGATCTTGACTACAACCAAAGAACTAACAATGCAGGAAATGACAGCAAAAATTGGAAAAACTAAACACCAAGAGACAGAGGACCCAGTTGATCAACAGACCCAACCAATGGAAAAACCAGAAAAGGGAGTGACAACATTGAAACTGGAAAAGACTTTTTACAAAAATCAGAAGAAATTTGAGGAAAAGGAAGAACAGACTGAATGGAAAATAAATCTATCAGGACATTTGTGGGAAATTGGAGTAATACAGAGGTGATTTAATGAATACAATGGGTTCGTTCTTCCAAAAAAACTTCAATCAAATGGTCTTTCTTATTCCAAATAATATATATAATAATAGAGGAAGAACTATTTGATGATTCAAAGGCACCGACATGGAAGGTTAGCTGGCAAATGAAGAAAGCCAGAGTAAGGCTGAAGAAAATAATGGCTTTGATTTATTAGAGGGGATATTATATTACTAATTAGAGGGTTGAATATGGTGGAAAATAGATAACTTTTAGAAAATAAAGTAACATTATAATTGAATGGCTAAGATGTATAACAAGACTATTAGGCTTTGGTATGAAAAGGGGGAAAGGGAGAAGTTGAGATAAGGGAAATTTTGATCACCTAACAGAAAATATTTGGAAATCATAAATAACAGTGTGTTTTTGTTTTGTATTTTTGTTTTTATTTTTTTCTTTGAATATTGATGGGAAATTAAAGTTTATGTATAGGCTAAAAATATTGATAAATGTAACAAAAATGTTTTTATTTAGTTGAAAATAAGAATTTTGTTTGCCCAATATGAGATATTTATGTATATTACTGAATTATTGGTTAACCCAGATAATACTTCTAATGGTTTTGACTTATTAGAGGGGATACGATATTATTAATTAGATGGTTTAACATGGGAGAAAATAGATAAATTTTAGAAAACAGAACAAGACTATAATCAAATAGATAAGATGTGTATTTAGAATATTAGACTTTGTTATGAAAAGGGGAAAAGGAAAAAGTTGAGATAAGGGAAACTTTGATCACCTAAATATAAAACACTTGTAAATCATAAATAACAAATGTTAATTTGAATATTGATGGGAAATTAAAGCTTGGGGGGAGGAAAGCAATAACAGGACATTGATTATATATAAGGATCAAATGCAAACGCAATTAAGATATAAGCTAAACACTATTGATAATTGTAACAAAGATATTTTTATTTAGTTATAATAAGAACTGTATTACTTAATATGATAGTAGATATAGTAGATATTAAGGACAAAAGAGAGGAAATATCTGATGTTGTAATATGAAGTTTATACTAAAGATTTATATATGCTATTGAACTATTGATTAACCCAATCATCATGTTGCTTTTTAAAATACTCAATTGTAAAATGAGAAAAAAAAGAAAAGAAAAGAAAATAATAGAAACCAAAAAAAATATTTTATGTCAATTGGACATAAATCTGGAGAAAAAATGGAACTTTATTGCAATTATTTTAATTAGGGAAAATAATGTTAACTAGTTTTGTTTTCATTTGGAAACCACTTTCTGGAATTTCTGCTCAAAAGAGATAACAATGAAGTTTTAATTTTGGATTTTGATGGTTAAATAGGTAGTTGTTATAGAAATGGCTAGCACTATCTTTATATAAGTAAAAAGCTGAGATTAATTTTATCATCTAACTTACTGCACCAAAAAAAGTTGGAAGGCACAGATTTGACCCCCTTCCTCATTCTATTCCCCTTTACCTTTCCCCTTACCTCTTTCCTATTGTCTTTATTTTTATTTATATTTTATATCAACAAAATAATAATAAAAATTATTACTTAAAAATTGTTTAGCTTTTCTCATTTCCTTCTAAAGAGAAATTCAGGCTAAATTAACCAAAGCTGGACCACCCTTGGTCTTTCAGCATTCTGCTGGAGAATATGCTCCAAAATGCAGGAGAGACCAAGACAGCAACCTTTAATGAAATGAAGATCAAACTTAAAATTCAAATAAATTACCCGTTTATGTTAATGTAATTAAAATATGAATAATAGTTTTTCCATTATAGCAAGTAAAAAATTAAAAACTGGATGCAGTATATTGTACCCATGGGCTCAAGTTGCATACCATTATTCTAAGAAATCATTATGTACCCTTGCCCTTCACTGTTATCAAACTATATCACAGAAAACCCTTTCCCACTATAACTTACTGAATCGAAGAAAAATGATTTATAGAATTTTCATTTTTTTCACTCAGAAACATATCACCGTGACTTCCTGTCATACTACTGCTTGCTACAAAGTTCATTGCCCATCTTGGAGTTGATATTTTGGCATTCCTTTGCAAAAAGAAATCCCCTTTTGTCTCAAAGAATTTATTTTTTGTGGGAGATTTGCGAAGTTCAGCAAAGCCTTTCTTAGCCATTTCTTCTCCAACATCCAGTAAACCACATTCTGCCTGGGCAACAATGGTGCCATCCCGATGCATGGTTTTATGTGTTATCGTTATCTCTTTTTCAAATATCAAACTATTCAGAAATATCCTCCCCTGCAAAATAAAATTTAGAAAGTATTACAGAGGAAGTTGAAATATGGTCTTACAATTAAAGAATCTCAGAACTGATGAAGTGCACTGATGTATATTCTCCGTGTGTGTGTGTGCGTGCGCGCACGCACGCGCGTACACACGCACACACACAAATACACAGGCTCCGTAATCCTACACAGGCTTTGCCAATTGGCTCTTATCAAAAGCTACATTATTTTGTCAAAAACAAATTAAACAAATATACAAATTGCTTCCAGTACTTGCATCACCTTGATATCTATCATTCAGAGCCACTCAATCTAATTTAGTACTATATGCATTTAATCAAAACCTAGAAAGTATATCCACTTTTCTGCAAAATATTGCTTTTTACAATATTTTGTAAAAATATTCTTGTCATTATATATAAAACAGAAACTGAATGCCTTTAGCTGGGTGATTAATCTAAATATTCAAAGTATCTCCTTGCCTGTTCATCTTTGAGACCTTAACTGGTAATTCTTCTATGGGTAAAAAGGTGTATAAAATGGAGTAATCATAACTTCTGATCAGAACAAAACATACCTGTTTGTTACTGATTGTACCTTCTTTTTGTTTTTCTATCCCTTTCATCTGAGCATTTATTCTCAGTTTCTTATAATATGAGGATCTTTGAGGATACTGACTGTTGCAATCAAGAGCAATGCTCCATTTATGATGTTTGTGTCATATTAAACTAGTTTTTTCACAATCAGTAAAATAGAGATGAAGAATAAATAGTTCACAATGAAAATAACAAGAATGCTACCAAGAGAAGAATTAATGTTGTTACTTTTCTTTGCAATTTTATATATAAGTATTTTTCTACACACCCTTGCCACAATTACCATAGAGCTTACATTTGAAATTCACATGCACAAACATAATCACATGAAACATCTGGCTTACCCGATCAAATTGATTTAAATCTATATTAGCTGATAACTGTAATCCCCACAATTTATACTTTTTTGCCACACCAGGAAACTGCAAGTTTTCTGTGATCTCAACTATTTCTGATCTTCTGAGGACCTCAGAGTTCCCATAGTCAATGTATAATACTTGACACTGTAACAGCAAAATAACAATGATAAAAATAAAATCTGTCTTTTGAAGTAGTAAGGTAGTGAAGCCTTTCTGATTTTCTTCATAGGGATATTATGTAAAAATCAGGGAGCTTAGCATTATAAACAACACGATGTATTAGGAATCAATTTTCAATGGGCAAATAATCTGGATAAAGAAATATCACTTTAATTTATAATAAAAGTAAACATGCACCTAAATGGAAATAAAATTTAATTACTGAATGTGTTTACAGATAAAAACAACCAATAGAACAAAATAAATAAAGACAATAGAAAATATAATCTAAGTAATCAAAGCCTGTTCTCTAGAGACACTTCCATAAACTTTCTCTTACTGAAAGTTAATGGCTGAGCCTTTCACTCAATCAGAGCTATGAACACTATTTGAATTGTTTGACCATTAAACACCTGCCTTTTATTTGAAAATCTCCTACACCTACTCCTTGCTTTGATAGAAAATCTCAATAACCGTCCCCATAGCACAGGGGTGTCAAACTGCCAGCCTGCAAGGCAGACGCGTCATGTGGAAGCCGCACCCACCCCTTGCCGGCAATGGCAAAACAATCTCGATACGTTGCGCGATGTCACATAACATCACAAGTTTTACATGTCTGCCATAGCACTTAAGACAGTGATGGCGAACCTTTTAGAGACTGAGTGCCCAAACTGCAACCCAAAACCCACTTATGCATCGTCAAGTGCCGGGTGGGTGTGGCCCATTGGCTGGGTGTGGTCAATTGGGTGGGCATGGCTGCGGTGGTAACAGCAGACTGGGTGGGACTAAAAAGTTCAAGTCAATCAATTTCAACTTTGCAAAATCTTTTTTTTTCCCACGAGAAGTTGAAATTGACTGATTGAATCTTTTTTTTTGCACATGGCGGCGGAGGCCTAAAGTGAAAAAGTTTTATAAAACCCAGCTGAAGGCCTAGGACTGGGGCGACGGCGCGCATGCCCACAGAGAGGGCTCTGAGTGCTGCCTCTGGCACCCGTGCCATAGGTTCGCCACCACTGACTTAAGATGTTCAGGGCATCAATACAAATGTGTACAATAGTCAGTAAAAAGTAAAGCCCATAGATTTTGGTGGGCTTATTTGCAAGTATGCAAATGTAACAAAATAGGATGAAAAAGTTGGTCCAATCTTAGTTGTACAAAAACAGTTTCCTTGTTTAGACCTAGACATTAAAATCAGAAGTCAATAGTTCTCCCAATTATACAATGAAGTGGGGAGAATCACTGAATTCCCCATAATTAAATATAACTTATCAGTTTTTAAAATACAGCAGCAGAACGCAAAAGAAATTTGAATAGTGTATTAACTAAGATACAAACTTAAACCTGCTGTACTTTGCAAAACTTCATTTTTCTTGTCAATCCATTTTTGTATTTCCAAAATTATATTTAAAAATCAAGCTAAGCAGCTATTAATCAAAATATCATCCTCACTTTTTCATCACTGATAATTTTGAGTACTTTACATCTGTACCAGCATTTATCTTCAGAAAAGCAACCTCCATATATCTGAGGATTAAAACAGATTTAGGACAATTTATAACTTCCCATGCATTTTTTTAGATCCTGTTTAGAAAATCATCATGATATCCCAATAAATATAAACAGGAAAGAAATCAAGGTTACCAGCAATTTACCAAAGATATATCCCATAGTTTTATACTTTTTCATGCTTAATATCTTATTCTGATATTCTCACAAGTAGTTTGACGTGCACACAGGTTATTTGGGTTTATGATTTTTGTAACCAAAATTTCATCCTAATACCACTTGAAAAAACATTCATAAAAGTTATACTAGAGATCTGAATTTCCAAGAAAAAGAAAAAAGAAATCTGGGATGAAAAATTTTGTTTCTCCCTTATAACTATGGAGAAAAAAATAATAATTCTCAAATATTGGGGGGAAATCTAGAAGTTACAGGTAACACTGTAAAAATTACCTTTGCTCCTTTTGGAAAAGTTTTTTTTAAAAAATCAATTTCATACAAATAATTCTATGTGAAAAGTTTTATGCACAATAACCCATAGCAACAGAAAATAGTAATTCTTCTGTTAGGCCAATATCCAGGATCCATTATCCGCATGTTTAACCATAAAACAGTTAAGAGCAAACACACTGCTATGAGCAGACAAAGATATGTTGTTTCCATACCATCCTTCTATTTATAATTTCATGAGTCAAGCAAATTGCCCAACTTAAGATGCTACTAAACTAAGCCACAAATCTTTAATACAGGTAGTCCTCACTTAGCAACTACAACTGGGACTAGCAACTTGGTTGCTAAGTTACTAAGCAGAAAATCACATGACCATAACAGTCTTATGGTTAAGAAAAGCACTGCAGTTGCTAAATAAAAATTACATGACCAATTTTACTTCTGCCTTCTCTAATAACTCTTTTTGTTGTAAGCCATTTGTAAAACATGCAAACAATGATCATGTGATGATGAGAAACACGACTGATCAGTTATTTATTTTATTATTTTAGTGAACTCTTAACTTCAAACAATTGCTACTTGATGCAGTCGGTAACTGAAGACTACTTGTACATATTGTTTCTACAGCAACTAGAAGTACAGTTTTCTTTTTGATAGTCACACATCCATAGTTCATCAACTGTTTGCAAGCTATTCTTTTTTTTCCACAGCATTAAAATGAATTATTGTATTAAAGTACTGTATTGTATTTATTTAAAATATTTACTCAACTTTTCTATCATAAGCAGCTCAAAGTGTTTGACAAATATAAGCGAAAACAGCATTTCAATTCAATATTTTGAGGCAAATAAAAAGCCAGATCACATGTTTTGTAGAACAAGCCACAATTAACAAACTGGGCTGGGTCATAAGAAAAATTATATTATCATTTAGCATGAAATGCAAACCTAGTCAATATTTTCTGTACATGTACTAAAAGCAGAGGTGGAAGACAGGAATATGTTTAAAAGTTCATCAATTTACTTCAAATAAAAATCCTTGGTGTACATGTTAAAATATACAAATTCAAGTGATCCCTGCAAGATGTTATCTTATGCTTATATAAAATAAGAAAATATGGGAATAACCTACCTTATTAAAATCAGGACTGCCAAAAACTCGGTTGGCTTGAGGACAGATTTCAGCTAGACCAGAGGTAATCTTTAAAATTTCCTGAGATCTATTAATGTTCTAAACAACACACATTGAAATCCAAATCAATATACACATTCAAGATTTTTATACCACATAATCAGACAAATACTAAAGTGGTTCAAACATAAAACATTCTACGTGTATTTTTAGAATTTTATGAATTTACCTTTAAAAAGCTTGATTTTTATCAAATTTAAGCATCAAGAATTTTGATTTTTAGATAAACAACTCCAAGCATGAATTATTTTAATTTCACTTTAATCAACAGTGCTGTTCGTATCACCCCATAATTCTGACCTTACCTGTGCCCAAAAGTTTACAGCATCTTCTACATGACAGCCAACTGCAATTTCAACTGTGAGAGAAAAAATAGTCAAATCATAATTTTACTGTTAAAAAAATAAAACTATACCCTCTTCATATACCGTACGTACCTTTATTATATGTTGAATCCTCCTCCATGACAGAACCTAAAATATGGAAGCAATCAGTGGTTAGAATAATAGCCTATTATTTATTAATAACTTAAGCAGTTTCACTACAGGTAACCCCCAAATTACGATCATTCACCTAACACTCGTTCAAAGTTACGTGATCAGCGCCCCCTAGTGCTTATGAGCAATTCCCGAAATTACAACTGTCACAGTACCACGGCAGTCGGTCGCCCTTACGAGTGTTCGCAGAGGCTCTGCAGTACAGTATTCACCCTATTCCCTTCCCCACTCCTCACAACTGCTTCCCCCTCCCTTCCTGCCGCACCGGAGTCCTTTACCTTGCAAAATCTGTCTCCTCTCTGCTGTGGTTTCTTTCCTTTGAGGGAGAGGAGAAAAGCTTGCAAATGCTTTTCGTGCTGACACTGGAAGCTCCTGGTGCTGTAATATCGTACGATTTCAAACACCCATTCTTTGCAAAAGAGATCATGGCCCTGGAAGCTTCCATTCTCGGGGGGGGCAGAAGTGTTTGCTTCATTTGCACGCCTATGGGGCAAAGCGTGGAATCAGAGTTGACCGGGCGCAGGAACCAATACTGTCAGTGGCCCGGCTGAGCTGTTTGCTTGCATGCACCAGACTTAGTTTGAGGGCAGGAACAAAACCTTCAAATGAATGGAGAGGCATTGTGGGGCCAGGTCCCTTGCAGCTGCATCCAAGCTGGCAGCGGCAGAAACCACCTGAGTGGCCATGATCCCCCTCCCCAGCCAGCCACCCTGCCTGACCTAGTCCTTGCCTGGCCGGCCAGCTGGCACAAATCCTCACCGCTCTTCTTCTCCTTACTCAAGCGGCGGCAGGAGCTTGGGTTTCTCAGCTCAATCTGAGCAGAGGAAAGCGGAGGTGCAGCAGCAAGATTGCTCTCACACAATAAGACCCAGGTGCGCTGCTTGCTTGTATGCGTCGGCCTTATTGAGAGCAATCCTGCTGCTCTGCCTCCGCTTTCCTCCGCTCAGATGGGGGAAACTTCTTATCTGAAGGGAGACCTTGGGGAAACTGGATTGTCCCTGAGCAAATGTGGCAGTTCAGAATGAAGCAAATTCGCTGCGTTTTCAAGCGTTACATTCATACTCAGATGGAGCTCCCTATCTCTCCAAGATCTCTGTTGGGATTAAAGATGTTTGGGCACCTGTGGGAGCCTTGAAAACGAAGCAAATTCGCTGCGTTTTCAAGCATTACATTCACACTCAAATGGAGCTCCTCATCTCCCAAACATCTCTGTTCGGATAAGAGGTGTTTGATTGGCAGCAGCTTGAGTTTCTCTGTTCAAGTGAAAATAAGCAGAGGCGCACAGCGGGATTGCTCTCAATGAGGCTGGCGCACGCGAGCATGCAGCGTACCTACAAATTCTTCAGAGCAATCCTGGTCTGTGCCTCCGTTTTCTTCCTTTGGGACCAAGCGGAGAAACTCAAGCCACTGCCGCACAAATCTCAGTCTCTGTCAGGTCTGGGTTTGGATAGAAAGCATTTGAGGGAGAATCCAGTTTCCCCAAAGTCTCCCTTTGGATAAGAAGTTTATTAGCGGCAGGAGCTTGGGTTTCTCGGCTCCATCTGAGTGGAGGAAAGCGGAGGCACAGCAGCAAGATTGCTCTCAATAAGGCAGGCGCACACAAGCAAGCAGCGCACCTGGGTCTTATTGTGTGAGAGCAATCTTGCTGCTGCGCCTCTGCTTTCCTCTATCAGATGGAGCTGAGAAACCCAAGCTCCTGCCGCCGCTTGAGTGAGGAGAAGAGCGGTGAGGATTTATGTCAGCAGGCCGGCCAGGCAAAAACTAGGTCAAGCGGGGTGGGTGGCTGGCTGGCTGGGCAGAGGGATCATGGCCGCTCAGGTGGTTGCCGCCGCTGCCGGCTTGAATGCAGGTGCAAGGGACCTGGCCCCGCAATGCCTTCCCACTCATTTGAAGGCTTTGTTCCTGGCCTCAAACTAAGTCCGGCACAAGCAAGCGAACGGCTCAGCCGGGCCACTGACAGTATTGGTTCCTGCGCCCGGCCAACTCTGATTCCACGCTTTGCCCCATAGACGTGCAAATGAAGCAAACATTTCTGCCCCCCCCCGAGAATGGAAGCTTCCAGGGCCATGATCTCTTTTGCAAAGAATGGGTGTTTGAACTCGTGCGATATTACGGCACCCAGGAGCTTCCAGTGTCAGCACGAAAAGCATTTGCAAGCTTTTCTCCTCTCCCTCAAAGGAAAGAAACCACAGCAGAGAGGAGACAGATTTTGCAAGGTAAGGGACTCCAGTGCAACAGGAAGGGAGGAGGAAGCATGAGGTTTCTTAGTGGGTCAGGGAGGCCTTGGAGGCCTGTTCCATCACTAGGCCCCCTATGGCCTTCCCCACCCTGAGATACCTCATGTTTACTTAACGGGCCGCATGCGTTTTAACAAGGAAGAGAATGATTTCGCTAAAGGAACGAGATTCACTCTACGACAGACATGTCAAACACAAAGCACAGGGGCCGGATGCGGCCCGCGAAGTGTTTCATGTGGCCTGCGAAGCCATCCTGGAAACTGTAAGGAAACGGCCCCTCTTGCCATGGCCCTGGCCCAGGCCAGCCAGGAGCCAATGTACAATTTTGTGGTGGCCATCTATGCTGAAATGCATTTAGTCTTAGCTCCACAAGGCCTTTTAAAAACAGCGAGGGACCAGCCCCTTCCGCGTCGACCCCACCCCCTGGGTGCATGCTGGGGAGGTATCACCCTTTGTGAGGAACGAAGAAATGCACCATTGCCTGGAAGTGGCCAGCAAATAGCTCTCGCCTACTTCACATATCTGGCTTGATGGGCTCCGGGGGAGGGGTTTTGGCAGGCAGCAGGGCACTTTCCTCACAGCGCCGGGTGGCACAAATCCAAAAAAAAGTGCGAGGCTGCCCAGCTCCCAGCCTGCCCGGTTTCGGCAGGCGGCAGGGCGCTCTCCTCACAGCGCCAAGAGCTGAGCCAGGTGGCGCGAATCTGATGAGAAGTGCAATGCTGCCTAGCTCCCAGCCTGCCCATTTTCAGTAGGCAGCAAAGTGCAAAGCTGGCGAGGTTCGCACCGCCCAGCTCAAGCTCTCGGCGCTGTGAGGCAAGCGCCCTGCTGCCTGCCGAAACCGGGCAGGCTGGGCGGCATCAAGCTTCTTTGGGGATTTGCGCCGCCCAGTTCAGCCTCTCGATGCTGTGAGGAGTGCCCAGTTGCCTGCCGAAACCAGGCAGGCTAGGGGGTGGGCAGCCTCATGCTTGTTTTTGGATTCGCGCCGCCCGGCTCAGCCTCTCAGGGCTATGAGGAGAGCGCCTTGCTGCCTGCCGAAACCGGGCAGGCTGGGAGCTGGGCAGCATTGCGCAGGTAATGTCGACTCTCACGTTGCTCATGGCATCCCTTCCCCCACAGCCCACCAAGCCAGATATGTGAAGTAGGTGAGGGCCATGTGCTGGCCACTTCCAGGCAATGGTGCATTTCTTCATTCCTCATGAAGGGTGGCACCTCCTCAGCTGCGTTTCTTGCCTGTTTTTCTCCCTCCCTCATCTCAAATATTTTCCCACCACTCTGTACTTAGGAAGGAAAGAAGAAGGAGAGGGAGAGTCTGAAGGAAGTCCTGCCTTAGTCCTGCCCTGCTGCACTTTCACCATCCTCTTGCCTCCTCCTTCTGGCCTATCCTGGGGGATCTCCCATCCTATTGCTAAGGAAGCTTTGGATACAAAGCCGGGTCTCCTCCAGTGGACCATGCCTTGGCACTTGCTCTGGTCCCACCCCCTTTTGCCAGAGACCCTCAGATCTGTCCCACTCCTGCCCAGGCCCCCATAGGCACACTTGACGTGAACGATGTAGAGCTGGCCATGCCCACCCAGTTGGCCACACCCACCCGGCCCCCAAGGGCAATCGCAATGCTGATGCGGCCCTCAATGAAATTGAGTTTGACACCCCTGCTCTACGAGTTTTCAATTTACAAGTGGAATGGGCAGGCTCCTTTACACTCGTAACTCGAGGACTACCTGTATTACATATACCTTTTCAGGAAGAAAAAAAAACAGGAAACTAGGGATCATCTACCTGCCACTTTCTTAGGATAAAGTATGTTGTCCCTTCTCAAAACCTATAAGGTTCAGATATCATACTAATACAATTATTGTTAAGTGAATCATAAGTTGTTAAGTGAATCTGGCTTTCTACATTTTCTTTCCTCATTGGAAACCAGCTGGGAAAGTCAGAAATGACAATCACATGATCTTGGGACATGTAAATACATGTCAGTTGCCAAGTGCCTGGATTTTGATCATGTGACCATGGGGATGCTATGATGGACGTAAGTATAAGGACCAATCGCAAGTCACTTTTTGTAACTTTAAATGGTCGCTAAACAAACAGTTGTAAGTCAAGGAATATCTGACCACCATGAGGCTAGTTTAATTAAGGCTTAGTAAGTCATATGAAACCATTTATTTATTCATACAATGGCAAATTCAGCCTCTTTTGTCTCATTCAAAAAGTCCTGAATAAATAATTCATAGTTTAATATGATGTATCATAAGCCATTGCTCTAGCACAGGGGTGTCCAAACTTTTTTCAAAGAGGGCCAGATTGGATGAAGTGAACGTGCTGGAGGGCCGAACATTTTTCCAAACATTCTTTGAACCATTACAATTAAATGCAAATGAATTATTTTATGCCTCTTTCCTCTCCCTCTCTTTCCTCTTTCTCTCTCTCTCTCTTTCCTTTCCCTTTCCTCTCCCCTCTCTCTCTT